CGTCGACCTTTCGAAACCTCCACCTCCACGCGATAGTTCGTTCAGATAGCCTGAATGCCGGTAAAAGACGACCGAGCTGCCCCCGTTGGAGGGGGTGGAACAGCTGTTTCGTTCAGAGAGAGGAAAGTCTGGATCTTGAATATTTAAAGATCCCAATGTCCTACGTTGATCTTACACGATGTTCTTTTTAACGATAATTTCCTAAGACGATTAAATACGATTAGATTTCATCCCACAAACATCGTAATCGAATCAAATTTAAGGAAGGTGAAAAATTTATCGCTTCACTGTTGTTCCACAATTTATTTCAGTATGATATTTTTTATTTGACTTTATGTCTTGCCCTTTTGAATGAAATTTCATATCATTATCTTAGAAAAAAAACTAAAATGTGTGAAAAAACAAGATAGAAATATTTCCGTTTTTGAATTTTGGCTAGTCAATTTGAAAGTTTATGACAAGTTGAAAATCGTAGATGAAAGAAGGAAATATTAGGATAGAGTGGTAGATGCTGAAGATAATTAAATCGCAAATAGAAGCAAGATGTGTTTCTCATAGATTGCAGGCTTTGGAGCACTATTCTTACTATTCTTAAAAATTAAAACTCACTACGAAGAGAATGAAAAGAGATTCAAAAACTTTGCTATAAATGAAATATATATTATTAATATTAAAATTCATGAATAGTAAAATGGTAATTTGCGACCCGTATTTTTATATTCTTGCTATTATATTTTAATTATTTTCCTTAGGAAAAAAATAACGAGTTTGAGAAATTAAAAAATTCATTTAAAAATTTCATTACGTGCCCAGATGTCGCGATAATTAAATCACAAGGGATCTGTCACAAAGGATCACTGTTCTTTCCATCATTTTAGCGTAACTAAGTTCTCGTATTTCTACGGTCGAAGCAGGAACAGGAAGGACATGTCCCCTGAAGCGAAAAAAAAAAATTATGGGTGGATCCAACGAGAAACCATCTTGTCGTGTGGGCACAAAGTAATCTGAGCTTCTGAGCAGTTTTATAGCTTCTATCAACATTAATTATGAATAAAAATTTGTAGGACTTTCGGATTCAAAAATAATAGTTGTATCAAAAGTAATTAATGAGAATCAGATGGGAGAAACGATGCGCAAATTAATTTCATATACAAATTTTGAAAAAAATATAAACATTTCAATTTATATTTATGAACTATATAATTATAAGGTTGTTTTTGATGCAAGTAAAAAAAATATAGAATTAAGGATAAAAGCAAATAGAAAAACAAAATTTTATTTATCGGCAGTATTCTCTTATCAAATATTTATTATACCGTGATAAGGAAACAAACAAAATTGAGCGAATATTCATATTCTGTTAAATTTTGAAGAAGACAACAACTTTCTAAGAAATTATCAAAGTTCCCCGCTGTAAAGTGTATACTCGTTATGAAATGCACACTCGTTATAGGGTGCGGTCTGTAACGCAGTTTAATCTCACAAGGTTTCCTCGATTGCGAAACTGAGGACACAATGTTATTACCGTGGGCAAATCTCCCCGCAGTGCAATTGCAAGTGCGCGCGCGCGCGCGCGCGCACTTTAACGATAGGCCTCGAAACGGGAAAAGGGAACTCGAAATAGCCGTTGTCAAGATAGAAACCTCACGGACATATAAGAAATA